AAGCAGTCTTTTTTCATACTTTTTCCCTACCTGTGCTTCTGGGTAAAATTTATTCCTAAATTTATTTAAGTCTCATAAAATATTTCTCCATACATATGTATGGGCAGGGGATGGGGAGGGAGAGGGGGGATATTTGAGAGTTACAAACTGCCTAAAACTAAAATATCCAGTCTTTGGGAATGTATTAATATCAGCACTGTTTTGTGTTTAATTTGTTGAACACAATGTTTTTGTTGAACACAATGTTTTTCTTGAAGGGAGTGGATGACAGCCATTCAGAGATGTCCTCTGGATGTTATAAATTAGGCAAATCATTTGTATGTGGAGCTAGTTAAGGATAAGCATTGCCTACTCCCTGGTTCAGGAGTAGTTGGGCCCAAATATCCATGGATCAAATGTGGTTTTGATGGTGAGCTATGAGGAGATGGGCCTGGTGTGAGTGACAGATCTACCTTTGCTTCTTTCTAATAGTAGTAAATGTCTCTTTGCACAAAAATTATCATGGTATCAGAGAATCTAGTCTCTACCTACATCCATTGCATTGCATCTAAGATCAAGCAGTCCAAGTGGGCTGGAAGAGCATCCAAGACCCATTCTCTGGATGCATCTCTGGTGGGACACACAGTGACAGTTAAGATAGAGTGGTAGTGCCCAGAAGAGAGCTTGTTCATTAAGTTATTAGCAAGAGGAACAAGAGCATGGTGACAAGATAAAAGAGTATCAGAAACTGGGGGAGTTCCAGAACAAACATAAAATTGCTGGGAAGGATGCTGAAAGGTTAATTTCTGACAGAAAACATGAGGACTCCTGTTATAATGATTTAGATTTAGCAACAAAATGAGTAGAAGTATAATCTCATTTTTTTTTGCCATAGGCTAATATGACTGCAACATAAAAATATATGATCACTTTAAAAAATGGATTTATCTGCATTGTCTATGAGAATTGTAAATGACGTAGAATTGATAAACATTAACTATATGCATCAGATGTATTTATCTGTATTTTCCCACTTACACAAAGACATTTAGTCTCTAGAAGTTCTTCTTGTATAAATTCACATTGTAATTGTTTTAGAACAACTCTTTCAAGAAAATGTGCACAGGATAATGCTATACTTTTTTTTCTGTTTCTCTACACACACACAAAAAAAAAACTAAAAAAAGTTAAACTTTTAGATTGTCTTTCTTAAGAAGGAGTTTTATATTTAAGGTTCAGCAATAGGTCAAAGGTGTTGAAAAGACAAGAGAATGTCAATTACTCCTTCTCTCTTCCAACATGGTTTTCAGTTCATGTGCTGAGAATGACAGTTCCAAACTACTGCAGGAAAACATCTTGAGAGGGAGAATCTCCAATTCTTCAAATTTGTCCTTTATCAATTGATTCATGGAGTTAGATCAAGATAATCCTTATTTATTAGTGATAAATAATTACATATTATAAAATTTCAGTGTGCCAAGAGTATAAAACTAGCTTCAAAATTGAATATTTGTTTGATATTAAGAAACAATTAAAAGTTAGTAAAATAAAATTCCATTTAGGCAATACCCACAACTTTGGGAAAGAGTAGCAGTATGCATAACTGCATAATTAACCCAGATCTTTTAATATTCATTAAGATTCACAAACCAGAGCTAAGAACAGTTGGTTTGCAGTTATCCCTTCTTGCTATTATACCACATTGCATTTCTCTTAAGTTTCTGATTTATGGAAGAATTTACGGTTATTCCCACGGGGATCCTCAAAACTTAAATTTGTTTACGTATTCTGGCTTCTTTCCAGATGTATGTGAACAGCAACTGATCCAAGAAACAAACAGTCAGAAATGTCTTTTTGAATAGCATTCCTTTACCATCAGGTCACACATACCTCCATTCAGTAAAACATGCCACCAAATTCCTGAGCTGGGCAGTTCAATAATGCATTTTTAAAACTCAGGTGGGATTAAAGAGAATGATTTTCTATTTAAACAAAAAAAGAAAAAGGAACTATGAACTTAACAGGGTCTTAAAAACACACACAGGATGGGGAAAAAAATTCCTCCAAACTATTGAAGAAAATTAGTAACACAAAGATTTTATCATCTATTTCCTCCTCCTCAAAGGAATGTTTTGTTATCCAGACTGAAGAGCTTGCTTTCAACAAAATTAAGGGCTCAGATGTAAAGAATAGAAAAGAAAAAAAATAAAATAAAAACGGAACAAACCAATACACCAACCAATTTCAATAGCTCATTTCATAATGAGATAGAACAAAGAACATACTGGATAGCTCCAAAATGGCAGAGTTCCAGAAACCTCATTCAGTTAATCTACTAGATGCTTTGCCAAACTTTATCCAAATAACCCAATTATGACAGACGAGTGGAAATTCTTACAAAATTGGCCCCCATGTGGAATCTCCAACTATGTTTCCACTCGGGTCAAAAGATTCCAAGGAGTGTGGTTTGGAAGCTTTTGCCTTTGGGTCCAACTGCAATTTTGTCAAATATAGAATGAAGGGATACATCCAGGTAAAATTCTAGACGTAGACTTATGTCACATTTTTAAAAGCATAGCAATAGTCCTATTTTTTATACAATTTCCTAAAATATTATCCAAAGTAAAGGTCAGTCTGGCTTCCAGTGTACTGTGTAATGAGTCTATCTCTGCATCTGCTTTTTTGCAATTGTTATATCACAAGGTCAATACAGACCTACCTCAGAGAAACCCTGTGAGGGATTAATTAAGATTACATTGGAAGAAAAAATTGTATTAGACAAGCCAGGCTTCATCTATGCTGCTAAATAGGCCCAGATGTTTTAACAACTGACAGATTATTTGGTAGCATCCTCACTAAATAGAGAATTTGCATAATGCATTTCAGCTGCAAGACATTTATAAAAATCAAAGAATACAATGTTTCAGATGGGAAGGGAAAAAACAATCTGGCTCTACTCTGGCCTTGCTCATCCTACTGGCCACCATTCACTCAAAATTTTTCCTATAGAGCAAACATGGTGACTAAGAATTTCATGGCTAAAAAAGACTTTATACTTTTTCATTCCTCAGTATTTCTCTAGATCTTCCTTACTCCTGTAAAAAAGGTGAATTTCAACTTTTTTCATGCCTTGTTGTACTGCTGAGGCATAAGTACAGTCTGGAATTCTTTCTTGTTCATCACGAGAATACTTGCTTCCAGTTTTCATCTTCCACTTGTGTTATCCAAACATAACTGATCTTCATCGCCCGAGGAAATACCAACAACTTTAGAGCTTATAGAAATGACATTAATACTCTTATGTGGGTATGGGTATCAGTCTTTGTTAATTTCACATGAAGATCCAAGGATGTTCTGAAATTTGTAGACTGGGGTGGAGATAGTCAAAGGAAAGGAATAAAGAAATACTGAATACGGAGTTGTATTCATTTTATTTCTTTTGTAAGTAAATAAAAACATTGAGCTCTATCTTTGAAAGCCTTTCTTTAAGGAATCTTAAAATAGTATTTTTGCAATATCATATAGCATAGTATTTAGAAATATAAGCTTTGAGGCCATATAATCAAATTTGATTACCCTTTCTACCACTTACTACTTGTGTGATTCTGAATTAATAACTTGTGTTGTTTATGTGTTGGTTTCCTCGTGTTTTGTTTTTGAGATGGGTTTTCACTGCATCCAGGCTGGGTCTCAAACTCCTGGCTCCAGCAATCCTCCTGCTTTAGTATCCTGAGTTGCAAGGACTACAGGAATTTACTCTTCCTTTTTAAATGATGATAAGTGTACTACCTAGAACACAAGGGTATTATTAAGAATAACATGTATTATCATGTACATAGAAAGCAGTGAGAACAGCTTTTGGAATACATTAAGTAACCATTCAATATGTGTTAATTATTTTAAATACCCATAATTTCAACTCAGGATCACTTCATAGCCCAGAAAATTTTACCTCTTTTGAAAACTTTTCTAAAACATTCAGGCCCATTTTTCTCTTTTAGAAGCTACTAAATATTGAATTTACTGTCGTGTAAACTAAAAATAACCAATTTTAAAAACAAAGGAAAAAAACGTACTAAATATTGAAATATCCTCAGAACCTTCCTGTACTTTGGGGTCATTGCTCTAATAATTCTCCTATAAGTACTCTGCTTTAGCAAAATGTGTGTCTCCAGACACTTCCTATACCTGTGGGGACATATAAACCACAGATTACCATAAATTTTCTTTCCTTGATTAACAAAGGGTGTAATAAGACTTGAGTCCTCGCCAAGCGAGGTGGTGCATACCTGTAATCCCAGCAGCTGGGGAGGCTGAAGCAGGAGGATCAGTGGTTCAAGGCCAGTGTGAGCAATTCAGAAAGACTCTGTCTTTAAATAAAATACAAAAAAGGGCTAGGGATGTGGCTCAGTGGTGAAGCATCTCGGGGTTCAATCCCCGGTACCAAGAAAAAAAAAAGACTCAGTCCTCAGTACTAGCAAAACCAAACAAGCACATTTATTTAACTCAGGTGTCTGCTGGAGGTCCACTGAACTGAGCAAGGTGGCTCTGCTGATCTCAGCTGGGCTCTCCAGCCAGGTGTGGTTAGTTGGAGGCCAGTTGGCCCAGGTGCTCCACCCAGGTGTTCCTCTTCCTGTGGCAGCAGGCTAGGCTGGTGTTCTTCTCACTATGGTGGCAGAAGCGTAAGAAAACAAGCCAAATGCATGCAGTATTTTAAAATTTAGCTACAAGTTTAGTTTAGTCAGTGGCACACCGTCATTTCTGACTCACTCCATAGGTCAAAACAGTTCTCAGGATGAATCCCAAAGTCAAGAGGTAATCACATAAACCTCCGGAGGAAGGAAAGGGGAGGACAAGAGTGCTTCTGAACAATAACACTCACCAAAGATGTCATGAAGTGAGCACAATACTCTTTTCCCCTGAGCTCAAATATAACTCTTGTATATTTAGTAGCCACTAAAATATAGCTGCTAGGAAACATGATAAAAATGACGGGAAGAAGAAAGACATCTAACTTACACTTCAGGTTTATAATTTTTTATTATTTTACAATTTTTACAATATTTTTTAACAGAACAGTAGATCGGGACTCCAAATTCTAGCTTTCCAAACACTATTGTATTTTTGAGAGCATAATATTTGTTGTGACTAAATTTGAAAACATATGTACACATTAAAAATGAACAAAATGTCATTAGATTTAAAAATATAAATAATGTGTGAATTATTTCTGTGTTGTTTGTTTTGGAGAGAGAAAATATTTAGAATCTTTATTAGTTTTTTTTTTTACTTTTCATATTAAAAATATGGATACATTTTTCAGTTTTTAAACTAACATGTATAAGAATGTATACAAAATGGCACAACGCTAACCACCAGATACATAGCCACTTCTAAAGTCATGCTAGCAAAGTAAAATTATTTTTTTCATTTATACTACTTATTTCCAAAATGAACTTTTAAAATGACTTCAGTCTTTCTTCCAAATGGGTTCTAATGGTTCAGTTAAAATGTTATCATTTATCCTTCCATAAATCCACAATTAGTTTCAACATTAGAACAGAATGAAATTTACACATTTTTAATAGAAGATGGTCTGCAAGTTTATTTTCACAAAATGATTGCTATACTTATGTATGTGAAGTAAAATTTCACAGTGACAATACAGTAGAATCAAAAAAGAATTTTACTGTTAAACCAATGCAAAAATGCTTAAAACAATGGCTCTGACGGGATATAGAAGCCTGACTTTTACCTGTAGATGGGTATACTTGCATTATCTCTAAATTGAACACATTAATGGGGAGGGACCTACTACCTCTTACCAATACAAGATGGTATTGTTCTGGCTTGAATTAATAAATTTCATTTAACTAAGTAGCATACATTTACATATAAAAGTCTTTCCACAAAACTTCCCACAACTAGAAGCAATTAAAGCAATCCTAAGGCATAACTACTATTCTTTTTTTAAGCAGTCTTAGAAAATAGAAACTGGACAGGTTTTAATTAAAGTAAGTAAATTTATAAAGCATTGATAAAAACATAACTGCGATGTTACTTCTTTATCTCTTAACAATCAATAAAATAATTTATCTTTACATATTATCCAATAAGTCTCTCTATCCCTTAACTCCTGCCTACCATATGCTGGAAAGGTGGCTTGGAAGCCAGAAGCCCCAGGACTTCCATCTGGTTATTGGACAGAGGAGTCTCCCAGTCTTGTCTATTCCTAGATGCTCACTCCAAGCTTCTGACTTTCTGATGAACATGTCACAACCTCTCTTTTGGAAGTCTTTGCCAGGAGTCATTGTTATGCTTGGATGTAAGTTAAAACGTATGTCATTCCGAGTTTAAGCTCTGCCTCCTTTACAATGGAGCCTCATGAGACTGGGGAAGGTAATTAAGATGCCTGAACCCCAACTTTCTCATCTGACCAGTGAAAGCAGAGGAGGGTGAGAATGGGGGTGGGTGGGTCTTGCTTTTTTTAATTTTCAATGTTGTGGATCACAACATTGCCTGATATCATAGTCCCTTGTTGAGATCTATGTTGCCAGAGCTAGCACCTTGGACAGTAAAGTGACTATGCTGTACTGCAGACACAGCTAATGCTTCCCCTTCTGCCTTTCTCAGTATTTTCAAGGTCTTAAAACATGTTCTCCGAAGACTTCAACAGGCACAGGGTGTGGCCCTTGCTGCTGCTGCTCCTCTCATCACAGTTATCACCCCCAAAGGGACACAGATGTTCTAGCCAAACCTACACATTGCCCACATACTTCACTCTCAACAGTGTGAGTTAACTGATTTGTGTCTCCTAATATCCCTAAAGAAAGGAAAAGTGGTGAGACCAGGCATATAGATCCAACCTACATTCAAACAATCCTTTTCATTTAGTAGAATGAATTACAATAATTATTCCATGCCCATTATAATCTACTCATGATTATTTAAATGTAAAATATGAATTCAGTTACTATACTGATACTTGAGGAATACATGGAAAAAAGAAATTTCACAAAGTTGATGATATTTTACCTTATTGTCTATCTTTAGGTGAAAATATTTCATGCAAGTTGTATAATTTCCACATGCAACCTAAGAACTGGTATAATCTGATCTATTTTTAAAAAATAAATATATGTATAAAATAAAAGGTATTTTAATGATTATATGCACATAATTGTTCAGTGTAAATGAAGATATATTAATATTCAAGACCTATATGTCAATGGAAATTAGAAATAAGAAATTGGTTTAACAAGGAGGCAGTATCTGAATTAAAGAATAACTAATTTGACTCTATGATGTGCTTTACAAAAGGCTGCCAACCAGGAATGACTAAAAACACTGAACTGCTATGAAACCTTCCAGACATTTAAATGTAATTTTTCAGAGAAATGAGAGATTCATTAAAATAATGTAAATCAAAATTACATTTCATAAACCGAAGAGGATACAAAATTTAAAAATAATAGAAAAGCAGGAGGAGATTGCTTCTCCTTTAGAGATATAGAGGAACAGAAGGCAAATAGTGAAGAAAACTGAAACAGTTCTATTTCCTGTCACACACGCCTTGACCTTTGTTCTGAAGGTGTGGAAAATATCAATATAACACAAAAAAGAAAAATATCAAATGGTGAAAAGACAATATTAATAAATTGAGAGGTCTAAAGATTTATTTATCAGCTTCAATATAGTATGATTAATAAACAGAATTAAGATAATCACTGAAGCTTTCTAAATTCTCATTCCTAGAAGGTTCATTATTTCAAATTGACCTTTCAGCCTTTGTTATTTTCTACCATGTACTCTTTCCTGGTTCAGGCAATTTATATTTGACACGTACAAGTTCACAGAGAGCAACACTTATCCACTTTTATAATCAAAGCATCACATACTATAAATCACAAGATATAGAAAATATTCTATCACATAAGGGAGAGAAGGGAAGGGGATAAAACACAACACAGATACTTAAACAAATTAAGCAAATAATTTTGGATGCATAATATCCTGTCATCTTCATGCTACCAGTAGCTGGCCAATGAGTGCAGAATTTCTTTCTTTAATTAAGGCAGCAATAATGATGGCACCTTGCCTTAAACTCTCCTGTAGCTTCTGCTCATCCTGAAAATAAGTAAAACAATAATTATTTCAGTACAAAAACATGACATACATTAAATGTGATAAGGAGCCACTTTGCAAGATCTGCTGCTATATGGACTTGGAATTTTACAACCCTGAACTTTGCTAACTGGCATAAACTCAGTCCCCTAAATAAAGGGGAAGTGCTTTTGCAATTGCTTTTCATTACAGACAATATATATATCTGCTAAAGATATAAAGAAAAATACTGATACAATTTCAAATGCTAACAGAAACAAGATTATTTTCCACTAATCCAATTTCTGACCAATTTTGGCTCTCCACTGAAGTGTGAATATTTCCTCAATGATGCAAGTGTTTCCTTCTCTTATTTCTGAGTGTTCTCCAACTTGGTTATGAACTGTCTGTGAGTACTGGCGTGGGGAAAACCTGTTGTTTGTGAAGTAAGGATCAGGAAAAATCAAGAAATTATCTCACAAGTTGCTAAGATGTGGTTTTACCATTGAAATTATATTGCTTGTGAAAATCTGTTTATTCTACCTAGTTAGGCTTCCTGAATGTATGAAGATTATAATGTGAATGAAAAGGAAAAGTGGAGACAAAACTAGTAACTTAAGTTCTCTACCTTATGAACTGTTATGTATTTTTAAAAAATGTATGGATATGGTAGTCCATCTATGAACTCTGGCGTCATCCTTAATACCCTATCCCAACATCCGATAGATCCTTACCATTTACTGCATCTACTTCCTACCACTTTTTGCCTCTTTGCACATAAGGATATGGTATTAAGGAGGATGACACTCCAACTACCACTGCCAGCAGAACAACTCTGTCCTCAGTTACAGAAACAGTCTCATAACAGTCTCTCTGGAGATGGGCCATCTTCTATCCCAATTCATGAAGCAGTCAAAATACTTATTATAAAATGTATTTTAAGTGATTTTAAATTTTAAAATTACATTACTCTCCCACCTAAAATCCCTTGAAGGCTAACTTTTAGCCGCAGGAAAAAGTCTAATTCTTCTACCTGCTAATGAAACATCTATTATCCTTTCAACTTCCTGCCAGTCCCTTTAAATCATTCCATTCTCTAAGCCACATAGGACTATTTAAAATTGCCAACACAAACGATTTTTCTGAGCTTGCATCCCTCTGCACCAGCTGATTCTTTTGCCATAAAAGCTTTCTAGCAACCCTCTTAGCTTGGCTAACCTAATTACTCTTTGTGGTTCAATTCAGGTATCTTGACTCCTAAAATCTTTTCTGTCTCTTATCCTACAGCCCAGTTTGGATGGGGTGACTGTTTCCACAGCTGCAAATTCCTCTACTAGCATACTGTATTTTAAGTCTTTTTAGTTGGCCACTTATTACACCAGATGATGATTTTGTAATGTAAAGAATTTTTCATTTTATCTCTGAATATGGAACACTTAGCTCAATGCCTAACACATGGTTGCACTCCATAAATTATGAGAAATCCAAAGCAAAGAAGGCTCTGACTATGATAGAGATATCATCACTCTTTCAGTTTAACTCATATGTTGACACTGACTGCTGTTTCTTACTGTGTTTACTCCTATTTGCATATTTAGCCGGAAGCCTGGCAATAGTACTGAGAAAAAGTATTCTTGAAGCCTCACCACCAGCACCATGCCTCCACCAACTCTGGCTCTGGGTTCTTTATCTATGAGGATGATGGTGAGAGGTTGCCTCTGCTTGAGCTGTTCTGTCCCATCAATTTCCCCAGTCGCTGACTGGGGATGTAGCTCAGTGGTAAAGTCCTTGCCTAACACCTGCAAGGCCCTAGCTTCAATCCCCAGTAGTGTAAAAAAAAAAAAAAAAAAAAAAATCCATCAATTCATCCCTGGGTAGAACTGTGAAGACCCACAATGGCTGAATAGTGGGTTATTTTGTTTCTTGCAATTGGTTTTTATGTGACATTTCAATATTGGATTTAAAATATTTTTCTGGTTTTCAGAATATCACAAGTCCTAAATCACATATAAACAAATCATTGTAAAGTTAAGAATGTTTGGTCTTAAAATATTATATGCATATATTGAAGTAGATATCATCCATGTCACATCATTCATAAACATACAAAAAAGTATTCTAAAACTGAACAAAATGCAACTATTGGCATGTATTTGTTATATTTGATCAATTAACTGTACAGTGTAGGAGGATCTATAATTCACATTTACTCTCTAGTCTCATATATTAAATTGATAACACAGATAATAATAATTAAGCCTTCCTCTTTGGGAATGATCAAGAATGCAAACAATAATAAATGCTAGCAAGGCTGTGGAGGAAAAGGAACACTTGTACATTGTTGGTGGAACTGCAGATGAGTATAACCACTCTGGAAATCAGTATGGAGATTCCTCAAAATACTAGGGATGGAACAACCATATGACCCAGATATCTCATTCCTTGGTATTTTCCTAAAAGATCTAAGATTGGCACATTATAGAGATTTTACAGTAGCTAAATTATGGATTCAAACCAGGTCCCCATGAACAAATGAACAGATTAAGAAATTGTGATATATACACACACACACACACACACACACACACACACACACACACACAAAATGGAGTTCTACTCAGCCATAAAGATGAATGAAATTAGGGCACCTGCCAGGAAATGATTGGAAATGAAGAATATTATGCTAAGTGAAATAAGCCAAAATCAACTTAAAGGTTAAATGTATTCTCTCATATGAGGAAACCAGATTTAAAAATAAAGGAAAGGGGGAGGGAAGGATAGGACATTATAAAGATATAGGGAAAATGAGAAGTTTAGAAAAAGAAAATTGAGAAGCAGAAAGGAGGGATAGGAAAGGAGAGAATTCTTTTAAAGTTCTTTAAAACATCATGCTATGTGCACATAAATATACCATAGGGAATTTCACTGTTATGCACAAGTAAAAAGAACCAATCAAATATAAATAAATATGAGCAAAAGGAAGTCTAGTAGAGTAAGGAGAAGGGAAGGGGGAGGAAAAGGGGAATCAAATTCCATGCATGTATGAGTTTGTTGGAAAGAACCCAACTGCTATGTGTAACTACAAAACTCTAATTAAAAAAAAGTCTATTTCTATAGCTCTTTTGAAACCAGTTTATACTTATCATTATGAAAGCAGCACAGTAACAAATGAAGAAATTAAGTGTTTAAGATCTGGGTATTAGCAAAATCATATTTCTATACCAGAATAAATCTTATCTGCTCATTTAGATAGCTCTATAGCACATATTTTAGTTAATAACTTAAGATGTTCTCTTAAAGATTAATTTATTTCTGCAATTTTTATAGACTTTAGTTTAAAAGATTCAGTGAGAAGACTCTATGTCATTCCACTGATTGTTTTTCCATTTTGCCTGAACTCATTCGATTATTTTTTTCTCCTTAAAAATCTGGAAATTTAAAAACTGATTGGACAACATGGTAAGACACACACATACTCAGAAAATTCTATTATGCACAAAGATGCACAATTTATAAATTGTTAAACTCATCTTAAAACTCCTTCTCTTGATAACATAGAAAAATGCAAAGTCAAATGTTTCTCTTAAAAAATCATTTTTATAATGACTGGTGAAGTTAAGCATTTTGCTCATATACCTATTAAAGGCAAACCAAAACCACATTGAGATGGGCTATTATCAAAAAGGCAAAAGAAAAACAAATGTGGGCAAAGAAGTGAAGTACAGGGGACCCTTTCACACTGTTGATGGGAAGGTAAATTAGTATAGCCATTATGAAAAACAGTATGGAGGTTCCTCAAAATATTAAAAATAGAACTGACTTCCAATAGTTCAACTTCTAGCTATATATCCTAAGGAAATAAAATCTTTATCTTGAACAGACCTCTACTGTTCTATGTTCATTATAGCAATATTCAGAATCACCAAAATACAAAATCAGCCTAAGAGTCCCTCAGTGAATGAATGGAAAAGAAAATGCCTTACATTTACACGATATAATACTAGAAAGAATGAAATCCTGTCATTTCCAACAACATGGACGAACCTAGAGAACATAATGTTAAGTGAAATAAACCAGGTACTGAAAGACAAATATTATATGATCTCACAGAAATACACAGTAGAAAAGTTTTAACTAGAGGCTTGGTTGGTTATAGAGTAGGGAATAGATGAAGATGTTGGTCAAAGACTATATAATTACAGTTAGATAGGAGTTATTTATAAAATAACCCAGAATAGATGAATATAGAGAGACAAAACTCAGATATATAACTGAGCAGGCTTAAGGGTAGAGGGAAAGCTTATGTGGGAAGTGAAGAGAAATGGGGAATGACTACCATTAGTTATGAAGTTTCTTTCTTGGGTGATGAAAATGTTCCAATCCTGATTTTTGTGATGGTTGTACATCTCTAAACAAACTGAAAACCATTAGATTTCCTGCTTTTAAAGGGTGAATTATATGTGAATCATACATCAAAAGTTGTCTTTGAAAAGTATGTATTGTTGCAAATGGATATGCAAAATATAACTTGTTTGAATCCCTTGAGGATGGTGGGGAGCAGAGGATACATGAATGACAAATGAGAATATATAAAACATACTTCCTGGTGAGTTCCAAATATTTTAGAATAAAAGTGTTTAATATTAAACTAAGAAAATTAGGTCAGTATGAGCAATGAAAAGTTACATTGGTAATACGCACTCTTGATATATGAAAATGACATTTTCCTTGATAGTCTTGCTCCACTCAACCTTACCCCAGACTATGAGAAAAACATCAGATAGATTCCAGAGGGTGCTCCTCACATTCCAAATAAGTACTCCTAAAAACTGTCAATGTGGGAGCTGAAAAAAGCCAATCTAAAAGCAGAATAAGGACTATTAGATATAGAAAGTGTGTATAGGAGGGGGGAGTAGAAAAGGGCAAGTTGACCAATGCGTGCTACACTTGTGTACAGAAATATCACACTGAATCCCATTAATACATACAATTCATATGTGGGATTAATAATAGATTTTAAATAA